TGCGGACGGTTGCCAAACCAAACCAAAAGTTTTATTTGAAAGTATCACTCACCATCACTTGTAAAACGTTTTTACAGCGAGGAAGGTTATTTCCAACTTTAGTTGCGTCGTTTTGAGTCACAAAAGCCAAACAACAAACGTACCTTTGTTCCGAGCAACTGCGTCCGAGCAATCCGGCCGTGGATCAAAATAGAGTCATAACACGTCACTTCGGTACTTTAGAAGCAAGAGTTACAAGAGTTTACTGCATTCAGGAGACAGAAAGGAATGAAAATTCACCGCAAAGTAATGACTTCGATTTTGAAAACCTTTCATCACTTCAATCGTTCGTCAACAGATAATAATCGCATGACCTTTGGCGTGTGACCAGAAAGCGGTCACGCTTAAAATATAAGTCACGTTAGGATACTGTCACGAATTTTAGTACGATTTTTCAGGTTTGCTTTCGACAAGAAATAGACTCATCGAAATAGAAATAGGAACAGGCTTGCTTTATTTGACATTTCAATTTATTTTATAGCCTTCAGAACTTTAGCCTGAGTATCAGGCCTTCCTAAGGGGATAGGGGAGAGGAGATTTTTGATCCTTTTCCCCAGAAACGCCTAATTTGCATAAATTTTCCCTTTTCAATAGCTCTCACCGCTTGCTTTGGTGTCGAGATGTTATTTGATTTCCAGAGCTAAAACTTTCCAGTAATTTAGTACAATAGCCAAGCTACCATTTTATATTGATTTTATGATCAAGCGGCATATACCAGATGCCTTTCATAATAGTCAAAGTTAGCCCTCATTTTCTACTCACTTTCTATTTATGTATCTACCTTATCAATCCTTTAAATAGGTCGTCAAAAAGTGAATTGACCCATTTTTTAATAAATTGAATGAAGAACACGTTACTTTTCACCTACAGTACAAATATCATGTACGTTTGCTAACCGTAAATATGAACAACTCTGTTACCCCAAAAATCCGAAAATGTACGACCCCATTCTAGTAACTCTTTTGAAAATGCAACCCCATTATAGTTAATCCAGTCGTGAAAATGCCACCCCATCCAGCGGCACATCCCTATTAGCCTCTTATAAGGAAGTGCCCCCCGCCCCACACACACACACACACACCCCCGGGCCGACCCAAAATTATTTTGAATAGATCATCTTGTTGTAAAGTCGTCGTTTAAGCGCAGAACGGAAGTATTTTCTTCCTATATTATCGGTGAACTGTTGAGGACAAATGTGCTTTTGTGGATTCGGCTAACTTTTGCGTATTTATTTTTAGTACGTGATACGTAATGCCTTCTCACGAGTGAGCTACGATCTCGCAAGTAATAAATTCTAGACATTCTTAGCTTTTTGACTGTAAATCAACAGAATCAAGAAACCAACACCAGCAAGTCGCCCGGCTGGGCCACCTAGACAATATGTTCAGTCGCCCGAGGCCAAGTCTTGCGCCGTTAGATCTAGAGCACAGCCTTGAGTCTTCGTCCTCCTCTACGCTGTAAGCTTACTTTTCCCTTTTTTGCTGACGCGGTATCTTTTTTTTTTGCTTGTGCAATCCAACCTGACTTACACGTTATTTGAAGTTGCAGCCAATAAAGTGAGTAGTGACAATGGTTGTTGCACTATGGTCATAAGTTATAAGAGCTCGTAATATATCATGACCTCAACGTATCACTGTAGGAATCGCTCTGGTACCACCTAAAAAGCCAAGACCTGGCATTAAATGAAACTTGGAGGCAAGGAAAGCTGAATCCTTAATAGTTTTATTCCTAGCTTGGCGATCGCTAAGATTACCTTCTACGATACGATTCTCACTCCTGAGTTTGGGTTTGCTGTATTTTCGGGTGAAATGTTTTATTTAGTAGCTTATAGGTTAATAGAAGTCTTCAAATTATCGAACCATTTGAACTCTTTTTCCGTCGAAAGTAATGGTTAGAACGGGCAGATATACCAAAATACTTAGAAGCACTAAATTCTGTAAGAAGTCAACTAAATTAAAAGTACTAAAGAGTTGTTCAAAGCCAGAAAAAAGTAGTTCTGTTACTTGACATGAGATCTCTCACATATCGTGTACGACAAAACGGAAAATAGACGTGAAACTTATTAATTCATATACGGAGAGAGGAAAATTAAAGAAGAGAGAATTCAGTTACGCAGGAAAATCTCTTTAAAGAGATCATCAACATTTATGGAAAACTTCAAATTGAAAATAAAAACCTGGCAAACGATCCATCAAAACAGGTGCTATTTCAGCACAGCAAACGGCTAACCTCATATCAGGAGAAATCAGGGGCGCTTTCCATTTAACAAAAATTCCGGTTTGAAATTTCGGGAACTTCACGTGCTCAATGGAACGGCGTACATTCCGGTTTCACAGACCCGACCCAAGCCACCGCGCGCTTTGTTATTGTGGCTTCGCAGCACACTCATAGTTACGGTAAGTTACGCTCTTAAAGAGAAAAGTAAATACTGTTTATATCCTTTATACTACTACATGAGAAATTTCTGCAATTTGATTGGCTCAGGGCAGTGGTATTTCAGCTTAATTTGAAATACCTACATGTGAAAATTACAGCCCTTTTGCGAGTAGTAGTATAAACAAATAATAGCATGATTTGTCCGTGATATTTGGCATAAATACCACTCGTGACATTTCAAAATTGTCGCAAATTTCACTCGTCTAACGGCTCGTGAAATTATGTATAACAATTTTGAAATATCACTCGTGGTATTTATGCCAAATATCACTACAAATCATGCTATTACCTATACAAAGAACACTCGACTGACGAAAAGGGACGGTGGAAAACTAAAGGCGGAGGAATCTTATTTCGTACAGAAAGCCTGTGAATGCAAGTGAAGGTAAAAAATTCTTGTGAATTGAAGCGATACGTTTCTCAGAATATTCGAACGATTCGAAGCAATTCCTAGAACTGTACGGTAAATAAATTCGGTGATTTGGCCAATTTGTAATCAGCCAGGCTTTGTTGTGTTCATTTCAGCTTAATTGATAAATTGCTTTAGTTAAATATCATCGACAGGTTTCAGACAAATAATACGCTGATTCTCACGGACTTTTAAATTGCAACTGATTCAAACTATTTGAGATGTCATGCTTTACTCACAGCACTTCACTTTCCACTGGAAAATACTTGTTCTTGTAAGCAGGATAGAAAAGAGCGGTACTGGGGACAACAATTTTGGCAAATGGAAAGGGACATTTCGGTCCGACCGACCGAAATGACCAGACCGGTCACAGTGGACCACCTTCAAAGCTGGTCCCGAATATTCCGGTCGGACCAAACCGAAATGGTCCGTTCCATTTGATGAACCAACCGAAATTTCCGGACTTTTGGGTTGAATGGAAAGCGCCCCAAATGATTGGGATAACATAGTGGTGCTAAATTTACTTTGACTTTTAATTCAATAGTTATTTTGGAATGTTGTCCATAGTCACATAACTAAACCGTTTTTGCAACTGGTTGGTGAAGTAATTTTTTTTGTAAAAAAAGATGTTGAAAATAACGTCGCAATTAAAGAGCAAAAACAATTGAGTCAAGTGAAAGGCTAACGTCATTACCGTAAACTGCCGCTTAAAAGCTCTGGGCTTTTACATCTTCGTAAGGGGTTTTTAAGAGGGCTTATAAACGGAGGGACGCATATCCCAGGGGCTTCTAACCGGAATAGAAAAAGCGTTCCTTTAACTGCTATATATAAATACACGTCTTTTAATTCATGAATAAATCTCTGAACAAAGACGTTTTCTTGACGATAGCCTTCAAATGAATCTTTTAGCCCTTTAGGTCCTTTTAAAGACTGAAATGACAGATTTATCTACCCTTTCATATTCTTCAACTAGTATCCTACCCGTTTATATGGCTGAAGGCTAAAAAAGGCATCCCTTTCGGGTGGAGTCTTCCCGTATAGAACATCATTGGGAGTACTCCCCGGGCTCTACCCCTAGGAAACGCTTCTAAAGAGGATCGCTAAAAAAGGCACCCCTTTCGGGTGGAGCCTCCCTGTATAGGCCATCATTGGGAGTACTCCCCGGTCTCTACCCCTAGGGAGCGCTTCTAAAGGGGATCACTAAAAAAGGCATCCCTTTCGGGCGGAGCCTCCCCCTATAGGCATCATTGGGAGTACCCTATAGGCATCATTGGGAGTACTCCCCGGTCTCTGCCCCTAGGAAACGCTTCTAAAGAGGATCGCTAAAAAAGGCATCCCTTTCGGGCGGAGCCTCGCCGTACAGGGCAACATTGGGAGTACTCCCCGGTCTCTGCCCCTAGGAAACTCTTCTAAAGAGGATCGTTAAAAAAGGCACCCCTTTCGGGCGAAGCCTCCCCGTATAGGCCATCATTGGTCGTGCTCCTCGGGCTCTACCCATAGGAAACGCTTTTGAAGAGGATCGCTAAAAAAGGCACCCCTTTCGGGCGGAGCCTCCCCGTATAGGCCATCATTGGGAGTACTCCCCAGGCTATACCCCCTAGGAAACGCTTCTAAAGAGGATCGTAAGTTACTTGATCCTAAAAGGCAGGTTTGTAATAATTTTATACTATTTGCTCTTGCAATTTATATTTTCCAAGAATTGTCAGGTATCAGCTGGGTCACTACTTGTCTTTCTATTTTACTTCACGCTGTAAGAGTAAACCAAGGTAAAATTGTCATGAACTGTTCGATTTATATTTCACATGATAGACCAGCTACAGGTATAAATATCATGCAAGAACAATAAAAAGAAGACTTTGTTCGGCTACTTTACAATCAGCGATATCAGGAACCTATGAACCTGGTAACATTATTCAAGGTGTGATGTACTTTGATTATCTATATTAACAGTGAAGATCTCGCCATTGTTGTCACTCGACAGAAATTTTGACTTCTTTTTGACATAATTTGTACAAATCGTTAATGGTCAAATTATCCAAATAATGCAGAACCAGAGGTAAAAATCCTCTCTTTTCGGTCTCCCAAGCATTTTTTACTGTCAGTTTTGGCAATATGGCTAGGTTGATACGTTGACTTTTTCGTCGTCTCTGATGACATTGGTTTGGTTGGTGTGTTGTTCCTTTCTCACTCCACCTAGGGATGTTTCGACGTCTCCAATAACACTGGCCTGTTTGGCAAACTCTACCTCTCTCTTCCCACCAAAGACTAATATCTCGACGTCTCTGACGACATTGACCTTGCTGTTGTGTTGTTCCTCTCTCTCCCCACCTAGGGATGTTTCGATGTCGCTGATGACATTGGCCTGGTTTGCATGCTGTTCCCCTCTCTCCCCACCTAGGGATTTTTCGACTTCTCTGATGACATTGGCCTGGTTAGTATGTTGTTGCTCTCTCTTTCCCCTCCGGTTGGATTCAAAACTGACGTGTTGCAAACAAGGTTTATAAGATGGAAGTTTAAGATGTCGAAGCACCACCAAAAAGACGTAGTCCAATTCGATGAATGAGACTCGAAACTGTCTTAACCTTATACAGTAAATAAACGGATTAACAAAAGAGTTAAAAGCCGGTAAACTATAAACAGCCATAAAAATGCAACTCAATGTATCAAAGCTCACAATCCTTTTCAGGGGCTCCTTGAGCCTTCTAAACATAATTACAGGCAAGAAACTTATAACTAAAAGTGCAATGATCGTCAATGTTAATTTAAAAGCTCTCTTTTGAGATAAAAAGTTTTCTCTGGTCGCTACATCGACTTGCTGAGCTGCTATTTGCTTTTCATGGCGATGAACCTCACGATAAACTATTATGTTGCAGACAGCAATGATTGCAACAAGTGAAACTACGACAACACTAATGATAGTTCTAAAAAGTTCCTCGTCAATGAGCGACACGATGTGTACAATTACAGACAGGGTCCATGCAAGAGCTGTGGCAATCAGCACACGAGTTTTGGTGACGGTTTGAATGTAAATATAGGGACGCATGATGGCGATGTACCGATCCACTGTTATTAAGAAGAGGTGAACAGCGGAAGAAAAGCAAAAGAAGGTGATGAAAAATCTTGTGGCACTTTGTACTGAGCATGCACCGGCTGTGGTCTCCCCTTGGATAAGGTTCACCATCTGAGCAATAAGAAGAGGCTGAACAACTAATCCGACCATCACGTCAGTCGACGCTAAACAGGCTAATGCTATGTTAGACATGCTCTGCAAGCGTGCTTTGGTCTTCACAGCGATCATTACCAACAGATTCAACACAATGGCAAAAGGGAAAGTCGTGGCGTGGATTACGATCAAGACAACGAGAACAGCATAGGGTAAATCGGACAAATGATCTGGCTTACCACCAATAAAACTGTATATAACACAGTGCACAGGAAAATCGTTTTGAATCTGATGACTCGCGTTCATCTTCTCGGCTTCTGCTCCGTCTTGAACGCCTAAATCTTCGAAATGTTGTCTTATTCTTTCTGGTTTCATTTTTGTTTGTAGTCATGTTTTGAAACTTTCAAGAGTTTCCTGTGAACAAATTTTAAGTTCGCATATGCTCAAAACTATCTTTAAAAGAACAATTTCAATGTTTTTGTTTGAGTCTCTTTTTGCACTACAAGCAAAATGGACAGACTAAATCGTGAAAAATTCATTTTCCTTTGGAAGACAAAGGCAAATAGCATATTTTTTTGCTTTTTGTCTAGACCTTTTTATTTCGAAAAGGTTTAGAAAACAGCAGACTGACTGAAGAACTAATTAGCAATAATTCATGGGGGATAAATTTGAAAAATCATCAAAATGTGACAAACGAATCTTATTCTCACGATCAGCTACGGTGTGGCACGAAAATTTTGTGGGAGTTAATTTCAATTTGCAGATTGGCGATTTTTTGTGTTTTGCGGGAGCTAGCTTTTGCGATTAGGACAGATTGTTTTTTCTTGCTAGGAATTAATATTTGCGCTTTTCGGAAATTTCCCGGACAAATTATTGATAACATTTTCGTTTTTATTGAGTACGTGCAATGGAAATCCGTATTTTAGAAAAAAAATGAGCGGTTTGCGTGCCCTAAACCAGTAACCGTTTTGTTTCTGAATGAAAGAAACAAGTTTTACAGTAATTGAACAGACACGAATTCTTAGTACTGCAGTTTTTTTGTGTAGCGAATTTAAGTTAGAGAATATTTACTGAGGAGTAATTTTGGCAGGGAAAAATGTTTGCGGTAATTTTTTTTGCACGCGTACTTGTTTATGCGGATCGCTGGAAAAATCGCAAAAATTAAACTCTGCAAAACTTTCGTGTCACACGGCAGGGTTCGCACACCGTACGTACTCAATAAAAACAAAAATGTTATCAACGATTTGTCCGGGAATTTCTGAAAAACGCAAAAATTAATTCTAGCCAGAAAAACCAATCTGCCCTAATCGCAAAACTGATTAGTTTCCGCAAAACACAAAATACCGCCAATCTGCAAAAATAAACTCCCGCAAACATTTCGTGCCACACGGTATGTAAAACCTGTAATCGTTTTGTTTCTGAACGAGAGACAACTTGTAATTGAACAGACACGACTTCTTAGTACTGTATTTTTGTGTAGTTAGAGACTATTTACTCTGGAGTAAATTTTTGCGGGAAAAATCTTTGAGGTAACTTTTTTTGCGTGAACTTATTCATGAGGATCGTTGGAAAAATCGCAAAAATTAAAACCCGCAAAAATTTCGTGCCACACGGTATGTTACAGTAACTGCGTTTCCATCTTGTTTGCTACTCGAACAAAACCGTTTTGTTTATTTCCCTTGAATTTCAGTTTCTCTACGATTAAAAACTTCAGACTAACAGATAACTTGAAAACTTTTTCGCAACTAGTAACGTTGTGTCGCTAGTCACGGGACATGTTTATGGAACAGGTACCCTAAGCTCACTTATAAGGGCCTGTTTACATGAAGGTGGGGGACCCTAGGCAGGTGAGGTAACATGTGGCGGGTTACCTCACCTATCATGTAAACGTGATCACATTAAAATGAGGTATTATATGGACAGGTGTGTTACCCCACCTAAGCGGGTTACCTCAACTACCTGGGGTCCCCCGCCTCCATGTAAACAGGCCCTTATGCCAATCCTTGTCCCATAACTTCATAAATTATAAGGGCTTGTAATGTAAGAAATAGAACAGTATGGCTAAAACATGCTTGAATCGCACTGAAACCACCAAATAAAAAAGCCACGAACACGCATTAAATGAAACTTGTAGGGAAGGGAAGCTGGATTTTTGTTAGTTTTATCCCTAGCTTTGCGGTCGCTTGAATTACCTCTTACGATACAACTCTCACTTGTGAGTTTGGGGTTCCTGCATTTTCAGGTAAAATACTTTTATTTAGTGAAATAAGTCCTCAAAATCAAGCCCGCAAACAGAAATAATTTTCTTGGAAAGGAATACCTACATACATTGGGGCAGATATACCAAATACTTAGAGGTGACTTCTGTATGAATTGAATTGCGTTATTTTCCTCACTTATACATTGTCCATGACTGTGCTCACATGGTGTGTGGCTCCTCCTAAAATGTTCTGCAATTGGTATAGGATTTAATGGAGCCGAAACCAACTGTGGAATTGCACGAATTTTAGGCATCCTACTGATGAACAGTTGCGACACGTAGATATATATTTTTTAGCAACTAAGATAATTTGCAGTCTGTTTACTTTGAATTGCGACGTTAAAAGAGTCCTAAAAGTGAAATGTGTTTGAAGTTTAAAGTCAGGAAAGAGTAGTCCTGTCTTTACACAAAAATATATCATATATATTGCGTGCAACAAATCAGAAAATAGACATGAAACTTATTAATGCTTACACAGAGAGAGGAAAATTAAAGAGGAAATAATTCAGGTACGCAGGAAATCTCTTTAAAGCGATGAACAACATTTATGGAAAACGTCAAATTGAAAACAAAAACCTTCTGGGAAATGATCCATCAAAACAGGTGCTATTTCAGCACAGCAAACCTGACTTCATATCGGGAGAAATCAAATGATTGGGATAACATAGCGGTGCTAAATTTACTTTGACTTTTAATTCAATAGTTATTTTGGAATATAGTCCATAGTCACATAACTAAACCGTTTTTGCGACTGGTAGGTGAAGTTTTTTTTTTTGGTAAAAAAGATGTTGAAAATAACGTCGCAATTAAGGAACAAAAACAATTGAGTCAAGTGAAAGGCGAACGTCATTACCGTAAACTGCCGCTTAAAAGCCCTGGTCTTTTACATCTTCATAAGGGGTTTTAAGAGGGCTTATAAATGGAAGGGCTTATATCCCTGGGGGTTGAGGTGGGGGGGGGGGGGGGGGGGGTTGGATAGGCATATTCTCGTCCATTGGGGATATTGTTCTCCGCTTTTTCTATTTTATAAGACGGTTGTATCAGGGTGGGTTAGGGTGGGGGCCGTTCCTGTCGGGGGGGGGGGGGGGGGGGGGGGGGGAGGGGGAGCTTATCGCCAGGGGCTTGTCGTCGGATATATTTTTTATAGGCGCTAGTTTACGGTATGCAGAAGAAAAGAAAAAATCAAATAATTTTCACTGGGAAATAAGGGAATTAAGCTCTACATGTACCTCTCGGTAATAATAAGAGGACGGAATAAAAAAACGACCACTTGCAGTTTAAAGCATTTATAAAAAACATTTTATTTTTAAACTGATAAAAACGTGCTAGTGGTGTTTCTAGAGTTTAATAGAGGGATTCATACTGTATTAAGATGCAAAATAATAAACTTTCAGTGCCTTATCTCTCATGATATACTTTAACAACAACCGAGCGTTTTCTACCCTACCAGCAGAGGCTACATTTTCTCGGTGTGAACTGGCGTGCGAAAAGTAGCCTCTGCTCGCACGGTAAGCGTTTTACTGCTTGGCCAAGTAAAACTAATGGGAGAAGGTCAGTAAATCCCTAATGAAACTGAAGGCGCGTGATCTACGAACAAAAATTTACAAGCTACAGTCCTTAAAGCCAATCAGAAATCCGAGTGAGCGGAGGAGCCTTGGAACCGAGCGCGATCTTGAAGAGTGACGTCACACCCGAACTCGACTGGTAACGAGGTTGCAAACTTCCCTCACTTTCCTTGATTTTGCAAAGAAATGAGAGTTTCCCCAACTTTTTGCAAATTTCCTGACTTTTCCTTGAATTTAAAATGCCATTGTCCTTTATAATGGCAGCCCTGTTCTATACACACTGTACAAATAAAAACCTAAATCATAGAATTCTAAAAAAGAGTACTTGCTTCGGTGTGAAAAGCAACTTCAACACTTAATTTCTAGAAATCCACTTTAGATGTGTTTGCAGATTAATTGATGAAAATTACAAAAATCTACACCTTGTAAAAGGTGAAGGATCAACTTAGTCATGTTTGTGGTAGGACATCATGTTTTTGGCTTCAAAGCATACCTGTAAAGAGAGAGACACAACTTTCTATATACCATCATCTTTACTGGTTAAAAGTATTTCAGTCATCACCTTTGGTACATGCAAATTACAAAGAAAAATAGGTTTGGGTAACAATTCAGACAGCCTGATAGGAATGCAGTCTCGGTGCAACTTTGAGTGGAGTTTAAGATATCACGAAGGCGATGGCGGCAAAAACGTCGCTTAAAAAGTGACTTCTCGATCTATGAAATTTAAGTGCGATTATCCCAATTTGGCCACTATGTTTTATGTAGGCGAACTCTCCTGGAGTTGAATTCTTAAGAAGATATCCAAGTTTAAAAAGAGTAAGTGAGATTTGTCGTAGTATGTTCACGTCGTCGATAAAACATGAAACTAGGCAATTCTCGTCGTAGTCGTGCAGTGACGGCAAAGATATGTACGAAAAAGCGTGATGCACGTGCTGAGTTGTTGTTTTGCTTATCTTAACCAATTGCTTTTTGACGTTCTCGTTGCTGTAGCCGTAGTGGCATCTTAAACTCCCTAATATTGAAGTCTACAACAGTCAGAATTATTTAATCCTTTATTATTAAGCCCTAATATCTACATACAAATTCTCCAAACTGATCTCTATACATTTCCTTTAAGAATTAGTTGAGAGAATTTGATAAAAGATCAGGGCAGTTTTTCTTTGGTGATCATTTTATCGATCCTCACAACCTTTTCTTTTGACAATGTATGGGTATTGTCAGGAGAAAATTGATGTTGGTCACTATAGGCTCTTGGCATGACTTGATCACGTGATCAACTTTCGGTAAACACGAAAACAGTTCACTTTTGAAAAGTTTTCTTAGCATAAGCTGAAAGAGCATATTAAAATAAGGTAACCTGAGCATTTTCAGCTGTATATCTCAAAAGTAGCGATTGCAAAGGCCGCTGAAAGTTGGAAGCTTTGTATGAGAAAAACAACTTTTGCCATCCAGTCAGTCACGCTTACATGGTTTTCCACACAAATCCTTGTAGTTTCGAAATTTTCAAAACTTTCGTTAAATATTTCCTTAAGCATTACAGGGCTCAAATCTCCTTTTAATTCACAACAAGCAGTTTGAGGCCTTAAATGTGTAAGGAAAATATTTAACGACAGTTTAAAAATTTTAGAATTTACAAGGATTTGTATGGAAAACCATGCAAGCGTGACAGGATGGCAAAAGTCGTTTTTCTCATACAAATGCTTCTAACGTTCGGTGGCTGTTACAATCGCTACTTTTGAGATACACAGCTGAAAATGCTCAGGTTACTCAATTTTAATGTGCTCTTTCAGCTTGTGCTGACAAAATTTTTCAATAGTGAACTGTTTACGTGTTTACCAAAAGTTGATCAGGTGATCAGGTCATGCAAAGAGCCTATTGGGACTTAAAGGGTTAGGGCAGTTAATATGTAAGCAGGCTAGACTTAAGACTTACATCTTCACTCCATAGAGTTCACTAGGAAGGTTTTTCTGCATTTCCTCTCTGATCACCATTAATGATGATTTTGAAAACAACTCTTTAAGCCTACTGTCTGACCTGGATAAAAAAAGGCATAGCTGCTATTAAAATCAACCGTTATGTTGCTGAAACTAAGACATAATTCCAAGTTCAGTTTCAGTTTATTTATTTTGCCAGAAAATACTTTTTTTTTGCATACATCGCATAATTATGTATATATATGGACAGTTACTTAATACTTGTCGTTTTTCACAAAATTTAATTTTGGACAGTTACTTAACATAACTTAATACACAAAAGTTCACCAGACCTTGTGACACTACTGTCCTCTGAGTCCAGATCTACTCCACTCTTTGTGATGTTTTCTTTGACACATATCAAACCACCAGGCGACAGCCCCGATTGGCAACACATGAAAAAGTCTACAAAGTCGCCTGTTCAGAAAAGAACAATTACATAAATAGGTGGACTATAACAATTGTCCAGGTGAGTGCAGTCCTCAATAGGAATGTTGTTGACAGTAGCTAAGGTTCTGACAACTTGTGCAGTAGTCATCTTCAGAGTCAAAGTGCTTTGTATCGGGTCAGTTGATAGTTATTTAACTCTGGTTGTTGACCTTATGACATTGGCCTGGTTAGTATGTTGTTGCTCTCTCTTTCCCCTCCGGTTGGATTCAAAACTGACCACAACGTTTGTTCCAAATATTCTACCTTCAAATTCTACAGCTTCGTGGTGGTTTTTCTGCATCAGTAATTCGATGAATGAGACTCGAAACTGTCTTAACCTTATACAGTAAATAAACGGATTAACAAAAGAGTTAAAAGCCGGTAAACTATAGACAGCCATAAAAATGCAACTCAATGTACCAAAGCTCACAATCCTTTTCAGGGGCTCCTTGAGCCTTCTAAAAATAATTACAGGCAAGAAACTTATAACTAAAAGTGCAATGATCGTCAATGTTAATTTAAAAGCTCTCTTTTGAGATAAAAAGTTTTCTCTGGTCACTACGTCGACTTGCTGAGCTGCTATTTGCTTTTCGTGGCGATGAACCTCACGATAAACTATTATGTTGCAGACAGCGATGATTGCAACAAGTGAAACTACGACAACACTAATGATAGTTCTAAAACGTTCCTCGTCAATAAACGACACGATGTGTACAATTACAGACAGGGTCCATGCAAGAGCTGTGGCAATCAGTACACGAGCTTTGGTGACGGTTTGAATGTAAATATAGGGACGCATGATGGCGATGTACCGATCCACTGTTATTAAGAAGAGATGAAGAGAGGAAGAAAAGCAAAAGAAGGTGATGAAAAATCCTGTGGCACTTTGTACTGAGCATGCACCGGCTGTGGTCTCCCCTTGGATAAGGTTCACCATCTGAGCAATAAGAAGAGGCTGGACAACTAATCCGACCATCACGTCAGTCGAGGCTAAACAGGCTAATGCTATGTTAGACATGCTCCGCAAGCGTGCTTTGGTCTTCACAGCGATCATTACCAACAGATTCAACACAATGACAAAAGGGCAGGTCGTGGCGTGGATTACGATCAAGGCAACGAGAACAGCATAGGGTAAATCGGACAAATGATCTGGCTTACCACCAATAAAACTGTATATAACACAGTGTACAGGAAAATCGTTTTGAATCTGATGACTCGTGTTCATCTTCTCGGCTTATGCTCCGTCTTCAACGCCTAAATCTACGAAATGTTGTCTTATTCTTTCTGGTTTCATTTTTGTTTGTAGTCATATTTTGAAATTTTCAAGAGTTTCCTGTGAACAAACTTTAAGTTTGCACATGCTCAAAAGTATCTTTAAAGGAGCAATTTCAATGTTTTTGTTTCAGTCTCTTTTTGCACTACAAACAAAATGGACAGATTATATAGTGAAAATTCATTTTCCTTTGGAAAACAAAGGCAAATAGCATATTTTTTTGCTTTTTCTCTAGACCTTTTTATTTCGAGGTGAGGTTTAGAAAACAGCAGACTGACTGAAGAACTAATTAGCAATAATTCATTGGGGATAAAATTGAAAAAATCATTAAATTGTGACAAACGAAACATATTCTCACGATCAGCTACGGTGTGGCAGAAAAATCTTGTGGGAGTTAATTTTAATTTGTAGATGGGCGATTTTTTGTGTTTTGCGTGAGCTAATTTTTGTGATTAGGACAGATTGTTTTTTCTTGCTGGGAATTAATATTTGCGCTTTTCGGAAATTCCCGGACAAATTATTGATAATATTTTCGTTTTTATTGAGTACGTGCAATGGAAATCCGTATTTCAGAAAAAAAAAATGTGCGATTTGCGTACCCTAAACCAGTAATCGTTTTGTTTCTGAGTGAAAGAAACAAGTTATACTGTAATTGAACAGACACGAATTCTTAGTACTGCACTTTTTTTGTGTAGCAAATTTAAGTGAGAGAATATTTACTCAGGAGTAAATTTTTGCGGGGAGAAATGTTTGCGGTAATTTTTTTTTTGCGCGTACTTGTTTATGCGGATCGCTGGAAAAATCGCAAAAATTAAACCCTGCAAAAATTTCGTGTCACACGGTAGGGTTCACACACCGTAGTATTGTTTCAAATACGGATTTCCATTGTACGTACTCAATAAAAACAAAAATGTTATCAATGATTTGTCCGGGAATTTCTGAAAAACGCAAAAATTAATTCTAGCAAGAAAAACCAATCTGTCCTAATCGCAAAACTGATTAGTTCCCGCAAAACACAAAATACCGCCAATCTGCAAAAATAAACTCCCGCAAAAATTTCGCGCCACACGGTATGTAAAACCTGTAATCGTTTTGTTTCTGAACGAGAGGCAAGTTGTAATTGAACAGACACGATTTCTTAGTACTGTATTTTTGTGTATTAGAGACTATTTACTTTGGAGTAAATTTTTGCGGGAAAAATCTTTGAGGTAACTTTTTTGGGGTGAACTTATTCATGCGGATCGCTGGAAAAATCGCAAAAATTAAAACCCGCAAAAATTTCGTACGACACGGTATGTTACAGTAAGTGCGTTTCCATCTTGTTTGTTTAGTGAAATAAGTCCTCAAAATCAAGCCAACAGAAATAATTTTCTCAATACCTACATTGGGGCAGATATACCAAATACTTAGAAGTGACTTCTGTATGAATTGAATTGCGTCGTTAAAAGAGTCCTTAAAGGGAAATGTGTTTGAAGTTTAAAGTCAGGAAAGAGTAGATCTGTCTTTACACAAAAATCTATCATATATTGCGTGCAACAAATCAGAAAATAGACATGAAACTTATTAATGCTTACACAGAGAGAGGAAAATTAAAGAGAAAATAATTCAGGTACGCAGGAAATCTCTTTATAGCGATGAACAACATTTATGGAAAACGTCAAATTGAAAACAAAAACCTTCTGGGAAATGATCCATCAAAACAGGTGCTATTTCAGCACAGCAAACCTAACTTCATATCGGGAGAAATCAAATGATTGGGATAACATAGTGGTGCTAAATTTACTTTGACTTTTAATTCAATAGTTATTTTGGAATATAGTCCATAGTCACATAACTAAACCGTTTTTGCGACTGGTAGGTGAAGTTATTTTTTTGGTAAAAAAGATGTTGAAAATAACGTCGCAATTAAGGAGCAAAAACAATTGAACGTCGAACGTCATTACCGTAAACTGCCGCTTAAAAGCCCTGGACTTTTACATCTTCGTAAGGGGTTTTAACAGGGCTTATAAACAGAGGGGCTTATATTCGAGAGGGATTATTACCGGAATAGAAAAAGTGCTTCGAACCAAGCTACAGCACTGCTGATAAAAATATGTTTTGCATTTACTGGTATTTAATTAATAGAATTCATTTCAATACATTTGGAACTGTAGAGGCTAGAAGGGGCGGCTAGAAGGAGGGGGGGAGCGCTTATAACCGGGGGCCTTATCATCGGATATATTTTTTTCTTTAAAGGTAGAGGGACCTGTTAATGGCGGGTTTATAAGATGGGGAGGTTATAGGCCGTAGCTTACGGTATGCGGAAGAAAGAAAAAATCAAACAAACTTTTACTCGGAAATAAGGAAATTAAGCTCTACACAGATCTCTCGGTAAATAAATAATAAGAGGACGGAATAAAAAAACGACCACTTTGCAGTTTAAAGCATTAATTTTATATAAGTTATTTTATTTTTAAACTGATAAAAAAGTGCTAGTGGTGTTTCTAGAGTTTAATAGAGGGATTCATACCGTATTAAGATGCAAAATAATAAACTTTCAGTGCCTTATCTCTCATGCTATACTTTAACAACACCCGAGCGTTTTATACCCTTCCAGCAGAGGCTACATTTTCTCGTTTTACTGCTTGGCCAAGTAAAACTAATCGGAGAAGGCCAGTAAGTCACTAACAAAACCGAAGGCGCGTGATCTAGGAACAAAAATTTACAAGCTACAGTCCTTAAAGTTAAAACCACCTTGTGTAGCATAATCAGCAATCCGAGTGAGAGGAGGAGTCTTGGAACCGAGTGCGATCTTGAAGGGTGACGTCACACCCGAACTCGCCGTGGTCGACTGCAAACTTCCCTGACTTTTCCCTGATTTTGCAAAGAAATGGGAGTTTTCCCACCTTTTTGCAAATTTCCTGCCTTTTTCTTGAATTTAAAATGCGATTGTCCTTTATAGTGGCAGCCCTTTTCCATACACACTGTACAAATAAAAACCTAAATCATAGAATTCTGAAAAAGAGTACTTGCTTCGGTGTAAAAAGCAACTTCAACACTTAATTTCTAGAAATCCACTTAAGATGTCTTTGCACATTAATTGATGAAAATTACAAAAACCTACACTTTGTAAAGGTGAAAGATCAACTTAGTCATGTTTGTGGTAGAACATCATGTTTTTGGCTTCAAAGCATACCTGTAAAGAGAGTGACACAACTTTCTATATACCATCATCTTTACTGGTTAAAAGTATTTCAGTCATCACCTTTGGTACATGCAAATGACAAAGAAAAATAGGTTTGGGTAACAATTCCGACAGCCTGATAGGAATGTACTCTCAGTGCAACTTTGAGCAATAGGGAGTTTAAGATACCACGAAGGCGACGGCGGCAAAAACGTCGCTTACAAAGTGACTTCTTGATCTATGAAACTTTAGCGCGATTATCCCAATTCGGCCACTATGTTTTATGTAGGCGAACTCTCCTGGAGTTGAATTCTTAAGAAAAACATCCAAATTTAAAAAGAGTAAGAGAGATTCGTCGCCGTATGTTCACGTTGTCGATAAAACGTGAAACTAGGCAATTGTCGTCGTAGTCGTGCAGTAACGTGCAAATTGTTGTTAGTTCTCTCTCTTGCTCCGAGAGGTTTTTCTCCGGGTACTCCGGTTTTCCCCTCTCCTCAAAAACCAAGATTTCCAAATTCCAATTCGACCAGGAATCAGGTAGACGAAGAACCACTATGTGGATGTGCTACCTGCAAATCGTTCTTTGTTTCTTTATTATTTATTTATTTACGGCAAAGAAATGTTAAAAAAAGCGTGATGCACGTGCTGAGTTGTTGTTTTGCTAATCTTAACCAATTGCTTTTTGACGTTCTCGTTGCCGTCGCCGTAGTGGCATCTTAAACTCCCTGATATTGAAGTCTACAACAGTCAGAATTATGTAAACCTTTATTAAGTCCTAATATCCACAAACAAATTCTCCAAACTGATCTCTATAAATTTCCTCTAAGAATTAGTTGAGAGAATTTGATAAAAGATCATGGCATTTTCTCTTTGGTGATCATTTTACCAATTCTCACAACCTTTTCTCTTGACAATGTATGGGTATTGTTAAGAGAAAATTGATGTTGATCACTATTGGGACTTGAAGGGTTAGGGCAGTTAGTATGTAAACATGTCAGACTTACATCTTCACTCCATAAAGTTCACTGGGAAGGTTTTTCTGCATTTCCTCTCTGATCACCATTAATGATGATTTTGAAAACAACTCTTTAAGCCTACTGTCTGACCTGGATAAAAAAAAGGCATAGCTGCTATTAAAATCAACCGTTTGTTGCTGAAACTAAGACATAACTCCAACTTCAGTTTCAGTTTATCTATTTTGCCAGAAAATACCTTTTTTTTTTCATACATCGCATAATTATGTGCATATACATGTATGAGAATTAGGTATTTATTGTGAGGAAGCTCAAGTTTAAACCATGGGGTCTCATCCCCATGAGCTCTTTTCCTAACTTAAGACTATAAATATAATAAACTAATGTGTGGCATAATCAGTTGAGTCAAATGTAACCCCTTATTCTGAGCACTTTTTTGTATTTTACTTAGCCTGCCCGAAAGGCACTTTGCAATTCGGGCATCACTCTTTGTGCTCATCTTGTGCTTCATGCAATGCCCTGTTTACCTTACTTGCTCATAAAGTACCTGCAATGCAACCTACCATTAACCATGATTTTTAAAATAATACCTGTCGTTTTTCACAAAATTTAATTTTGGACAGTTACTTAACATAACTTAGTACACAAAAGTTCACCAGACCTTGTGACACTACTGTCCTCTGAGTCCAGATCTACTCCACTCTTTGTGATGTTTTCTTTGACACATATCAAACCACCAGGTGACAGCCCAGATTGGCAACGCATGAAAAAGTCTACAAAGTCGCCTGTTCAGAAAAGAACAATTACATAAATAGGTGGACTATAATAATTGTCCAGCTGAGTGCAGTCCTCAATAGGAATGTTGTTGACAGTAGCTAAGGTTCTGACAACTTGTGCAGTAGTCATCTTCAGAGTCAAAGTGCTTTGTATCGGGTCAGTTGATAGTTATTTAACTCTGGTTGTTGACCTNTTGTTGCTGAAACTAAGACATAACTCCAACTTCAGTTTCAGTTTATCTATTTTGCCAGAAAATACCTTTTTTTTTTCATACATCGCATAATTATGTGCATATACATGTATGAGAATTAGGTATTTATTGTGAGGAAGCTCAAGTTTAAACCATGGGGTCTCATCCCCATGAGCTCTTTTCCTAACTTAAGACTATAAATATAATAAACTAATGTGTGGCATAATCAGTTGAGTCAAATGTAACCCCTTATTCTGAGCACTTTTTTGTATTTTACTTAGCCTGCCCGAAAGGCACTTTGCAATTCGGGCATCACTCTTTGTGCTCATCTTGTGCTTCATGCAATGCCCTGTTTACCTTACTTGCTCATAAAGTACCTGCAATGCAACCTACCATTAACCATGATTTTTAAAATAATACCTGTCGTTTTTCACAAAATTTAATTTTGGACAGTTACTTAACATAACTTAGTACACAAAAGTTCACCAGACCTTGTGACACTACTGTCCTCTGAGTCCAGATCTACTCCACTCTTTGTGATGTTTTCTTTGACACATATCAAACCACCAGGTGACAGCCCAGATTGGCAACGCATGAAAAAGTCTACAAAGTCGCCTGTTCAGAAAAGAACAATTACATAAATAGGTGGACTATAATAATTGTCCAGCTGAGTGCAGTCCTCAATAGGAATGTTGTTGACAGTAGCTAAGGTTCTGACAACTTGTGCAGTAGTCATCTTCAGAGTCAAAGTGCTTTGTATCGGGTCAGTTGATAGTTATTTAACTCTGGTTGTTGACCTGATTGGTTCATGAAGTTCCGATGTTATTGGTCGTCTGACAGTTAAGCTGTGACGTTAGTGGCTATGAGAGTGTAAATTTGAATTGATTGGTTTATTTCAATCCAACTTGTGTCACAGTTATGACAGTTGTTTTATTATAAGTTAAATTGTTGGTTTTATAGTCATTCTATCATTGTCAGTTTTGCTTGGGTTTGTAAATGCAGGAAGTCATTTGCAAGGTGCCAGTAACTGCTGACTTTGATTCCATACCGAGTGTAGTAAGTTAGTAAGAGGACAAGGAACACAGTCACAATTCTCACAAACTCAGTAACAAAATTGTTGGATCATTCCAAGCCATTTCCCTTGCACTGTTTCCCTATAGTGTTGCTTGTTGAGTAGAAAAATTCTTTAATTTCTATGCAAGTGGAGGGAATTGAGGCAGAATCCCCTGGGGGAGAGGGTACGTCACTAATATATAAACCACCTGATAAACTGGATGAAGCATTTATACACTGCAGTGTGAGAGAGTATGGTTTTTCAATTCTTTTGGTCTAAAATTGTGTATAGATTTTACCTGTGTGACAGAATGGGGTATGGTTTCTAGTGCAATCTGGGGTCTGGGACACATACATGGGTACAGGAGTGCAGAAAAACACCTCATGCTCATTTGCATCTCACTGAATAAAAAAATATATATAGTGCTGAAAAGGCAAACAAAAATGCAAACTTCTTACAGGTCAGCACTAAATACCACAGGATCCCCAACAACCACACAATGCCCAAGGTTGGAAATTGCATTCTCCTATGTTGAATGCAGTGAGAGTGTATCAGTGTTATTCTTCATGCATGTGTTTATAGAGTACTAAAGTGTGATGTCACAAAAAATAATATTAAATTTGTGAAATTATGGGATTTGTCAAGATATTCTGAAAGAACAACGTCCAAGATGTCTAATTGCCAAAACTTAGCACATTTGTGGGGCAAATTGTTTCTGAGATATTACCCCAGTTATTTGATGACTCCATCAAAGTGCTTGGGTCTAAACGTTTCCACCCAAGTCAAATTTAGAAGGATTTGTATGGAGTCATCACAGCATAACTAGGCTAATACCTCAGAGACAATTTGCCCCGAAATGCTAATTTTTGGCACGTAGGCATCATGGACGTTGTTCTTTCAGAATATCTTGACAAATCCCATAATTTCACAAATGTAATTTTTATGACAACACCACTTTAGAACTCTATTATGTTAAGAATTAAAATTATCAAAAAAATGACTCACCATCTGTCAAGTGTCCTAAAACCCACTGGGTCCAAATGACACTGTACCTCCCTCCCTCAGGCTTAAAATCCTACATTAACACAAACATAAAGTTTAAAATAAATGATCACAAAATTATTCATTCAAAATAATTTCGCCATTTCTGGTTGGCTAATTTTCATGACTTAAAACTGTTGACCATATTTGGAAATGTGGGCAGGTATTATCCTCAAAGAGGGATTACATCTACAGATAAAAACTGTTCAAAAAAGGGACAGTAGAAGGCATGGAAGCATCATTGTTTAAATAGAGCTAGAGAAAATAGCTGAACCACTGTCTAAAAACAAAGCACGAACAGCAAAACACCATTGTTCTCCTTATCAGACGGTAACCGGTTAAATTTACTGGCTGAGACAACACTTCTTACCACCTGCAACTGCTTGAAAAATTACTAAAATAAAATAAGTTTTAAAAAATACACAAGTTGTGATCCAATCCGATCAAGGAAATGAATGGATACATGGAAAGTAATAAAGTATATACACCTTCTATTTTTATGGGCCACGCATTTTGGAAAGAGAACCCTGAAGACAGAGTAAAATTAATGGGATCAAACGTTTTAAATTGTTGTCTATTATAAAGATAACAACAGCCGATTTGGATAAAATAGTTCTTAAAATGAGGGAATGATGTTTCAAAGAACTTAGCACTTCCTGGGGTGGGGCCATTCCCTCACTAATTTACCTCTACACCAGGCCTGTTTTGGGCTAATAGCACACAGAGAGACTTCACACATCCTGGTCACATTCATTGTTTATTAATAAATCAAGGTGCTTTCATACATCATACATCTTATACATATTCCAGAGGCCATGGGTTCGAATCTTGTTGAAGTTCCGAAATTTAATAAAGTAAAAGTTTAAGTCACCAGGGGATACCAGGTGTTGTTAGAGCATAGCCCTGAGAATTCTCAAGACAATACAAAAATTATTACATATGATAATAATAATTATTGTAATAATAACTATAAGGTACGGGTGCATAATCTTAAGAACATCATCCTTAAACAAACTTTGTGCTACATGTACATTTACTCTGTACATGTGCAAAGATGATCAGAATTAAATAAGATTGTAAAAATTAGAACTAACTACTTTACCTGCAGTCCAGTTGAATAAAAGTGTCCTATTCTATCCTTTTTTTCTCCCTAAAAATATATAACAAAAAAGCAATGTATACCGGGCTCAGCTTCAGGGTTTTCATCAAGAATTCTAGTAGCGGGAGAAAGGTGTAGAATATTCTGAAAAAGGCACCATGTCTGAATAAAAAATAGCCATAAAGCTGTAGGCTACCGAATGTAAGCCGAAGAAATCTGCGTAGTAAACGGAGAATTCTCCTATTTCTGATGCCTAATAAACACCCTGCAGTTTCTAGTTGTGGGTGTCTCGGCACAACTAGAGCTGGTGATGTGGTCATTAACAGATGTGTTGGCAATGGGAGTAATGACAGTAATGAGTACTATGTAGATCAAACTTAGAGTATAAGTTGTTATGGCTGACTTGTATCCAACATAGGCTCACGGAATACTTTATTGATAATATTCTTGACTAATTTTGTTGTTGAAAAAATAAACCGAAAAATAAAAAAGGAAAACATAGATAAAAGGAAAACATAGATGAAATGAACTCATAAGGGAGGCCAATAACAAAATGTAAGTCTTGCAGGAAATGCCAAGTCCCATGTTAGAAAAATCCCAGGAATTGTGAGAAAAAGCTAAAAATGTCTTATCACTCCAAGACTTCCGAGATGTCAAGATCACATTAATTAATTTTGTATTTCCACCTATGACTGATGGCATGACAGATGAGTTACAGATCTAAAGCTGACCTGCTAACTTACTAGATAATCTTTTGCTTTTTCCAAAAAATCAGGGTTCTGCTCCACCATATCCACTGTGTCAAATAATGGCAACAGCAAGTTTTTTGTCACACGACCAATACCAGCCCCACAGTCTAAACAAATTGAAAGAGAAACGTTTTTGCAATACATACTAGACATACAAATAATGTTCTGCATACATGTACATGCAACAATGTACAACTTCCAGGGTTCCTTACGAACTTTTGAATATGAAATAGACCTTTCCCACATTCTGCTCCAGTGAGCACAGGGGCGGATCCAGGATTTTTTTTAGGAGGGGGTGCACTCGTCTCTTGCTCTACTTCAACACCAATAAACCACATAGTTTTTTTTTTGCTGAATACCAGTTGTATTAGAAAACCGCAGGTCATCCAAGGGGGGTGGGGGGGGGGTGCGCACCCCCTGCACCCTCCCCCTAAATCCGCCCCTGGAGCACACATAATTATTTAGAAATGAGGTGGATACATGTAATTTTATACGAATCACTGTACTTTGTCCACCCAACCCTCAAGTTGGTGCCCTTGCTCACAGGAATGTGGGAGAGGTCTGTTCAATACTTTTCTTAAACTTTTTCAAAGCAAAAAACTTCCTTCTCAAGACTTAAGGTTGTTAAATAAGTGATCACGAGAAACCTCGTCAAAAGCAGGAACCAAGTTTTTGCCAACAGCAAATTTAAATGTGCAGTAATTCATATCACTGAGAACATACACTGTAAGGAAGTCCTAAAAATTCTCCTGCAATTGAATCTTTTGGCTGCAGACGAGATTAAATAAGATCTGACTAATGATAAAGAAAACTTCACTTCACAATTAAGCACTTGTTCAAGTCAGGGTTTTCATTATGAATTCCAGTGGCAGAAGAAAGGTGTAATGTTACAGGAGAATATTCTGAAAGAGACTGAATTAAAAATAGTCAGAGGTCACCGGACGTTAGCCACGACTCGTCAAGTGCGACAGATGGTGGGTGTCTGGGGAATCCAGGGGATTTCACTGTGGCCAACCAGCCCCTAATGGGCAGATAGAATACCACACCCCATGGCTAGCTTCACATGGCTGGCCGTGACTCATCAAGTGCGACAGATGGTGGGTGTCTGGGGAATCCAGGGGATTTCACTGTGGCCAGCTGGCCCCTAGAAAAAATACCATGCCCCATTACAGTGTATGGCTGGCTGTGTATGGCTTGTCGTTACTTACCAAGTGCGACAGATGGTTTAATTTTTTCAAAAGTGGAGTTTTTGACAGGTGAGGATGACTCAACACGTCTGAGTTTTGCAGGCTTCTCATCCTGTATATCTGGCAGCTACGTAAAAGTTAATAACAACAACTTACATTTGTACTGTGACATTTTTTGCTCTACTATTGCAAATCTTACATTCCAATAGGTTGATGTACATGCTTTCAATCATCTTACATGTATGTAGATAGTGCACGTAGAGAAAAACTGCCATTTATAAGTCTTGGGCTTATACATCTTTGTGAGTGGTTTTTAATATGATGACTTATATCCAAAAGCTTATAAAAGGAATAGAAGAAAAAATGTTTCAAAACAAGCTACAGCAGTGCTGATCAAAATATGTTTTGCATTTACTAGTTTTTGATTACCAGTAAGCTTCAAAACTTCATAATTACTCAAATCAGAAGCATTTAACCCTAAAGCTTATAACTCTGTTCCAAGGCTGGGGTTTCTTGAAAAACCAATCAAAATTTACTTCCTAATATGGAATCACTGATATGCGAGCCTGTCCGCTAGTGTTATGAAAACTTTGTATCATGATGTTAACGAAGAACTACAAAGAGAAATTACAGTTTTACCAAGTAAAATTAGACCAAACTTGGAAATCAAAATGGCCATGGTTGGCTTATTCTGGACAAAATAAGGTCAACTAATCATGATAAACATCCTATGGGTCCGTCATAACTTGGTGATGAAAGCCAATAGTGGGTGCTCAAAAGAGTATGCGTCAACATCACACAACCTTTTTTTTTTATGTGTTTCCAAAGCTTGCTATCTTAATGTTAAGAGCATTGCACAAAGTCCGTTCAGAGAAGCATATAGCATGTTTTGCAATGAACACTGGAAAGGAAAACTACTACTTTTTACGGAAAGTATCCACAAGGAAAATTATTCATACACGCAACAGTGCAGCTTAGCGCGCACAAATGACAACACTAGCGTTGGCCCCACTACCTGTAAATACTAGGGTATCTAAAAGATAGTAATGCTGCGGCACATTCTGTTGATACTGGCATTAGTTAGGCAGTGAGACTTAATAAAAGAATCAAAAATGACATTGAATGTCCTATTTACATGTTGGAAAGTACTAGAATAATTATTACTATCAGTCTGTAGAAAGAACTTGTGGGAACGTTGTTTAGAAAATGATCAAGTGGTTATCAACTCTGGTTTTCCCACAGTAAATTGTAGGAAATAATAGAAATTCAGATTGTTTATCCATATATTTAATATGCGGTGCACGATATTTTCTCTGGAAACACAATACTTTTCTTGCTGTTTGTTACACTTTATTAAGTAACAGTTATTTAGCTATATATTTATAGAAAACAACAACACAAAAAACGGAAAAAAGAAAGAAAGTAGGAAATAATAATCCGGTACGACTCGAACCCAGCACCTTCGACTCGATGCGACTACACCTAACCACTACACCACAGAGGCTGATTGCAAAATCGTTAGGAAAAGTCTTTCGTTTTATTCCTTTTCCATGAAACTTCCGCCGGCAAGATGATCGCTAGCCGCATTAACCGAGCTATTAACAGTGAAAAAACAATGTAAACGCATATTCCATGGCAATAAATGAATGAAAGAACATAATTATGCTTTTCAAAACGCCGATACACGTTCTCGTCTGCAAAGTAGGACACAAAACATATGTTTTGTTATCTCGATTTCTGCTGTTATTTTGAAGCGAATGGTCAAAATCACATCCATTTTCGGCTCATACAGTTTCTTAAGAATAGCATTGCATGACATTTTCTCACTTTAACATCACCTTCTAGCAAGCTAGAATTTGTATATCCCCGGTGTTGCGGAGTCGAAGAGCAAATGCTCATCTTCTCGTCAGGTTTAACACCTGGATGAGTCAAAGGCTCTTGAATTGAAATCCAATCCCCAAGTTAACCATCGTACTCATCTGAAAGACTCCTGCATGTCTTAAAATTTGGTAAGACCTCTAACCGTGCTGTAGAAAATTTTCCACAAAGAAAACTCTAAGTCTGAGCAGCGAACGATGCACTCTCTCACCAACCGAACTTCCCCGTGTTTTCATTTGAGTTGTTCGTGGCGCAATGCACTCTGGTGAAATGCAATGTATTGTGGTAAAAAGTGTGGTTAAATGCAATGCATTGTGGTAAAAAGTGATGAATTCGAGAATTCGTCGCCCCTTATATATATTTCCTTTAAATCCTGATTATGTTGCTGCTCGCTCCCTTTGGTCGCTCCGCAGCAATAAAGGTTTTTTGTCTGTTGATTATGTTATTTAACGATTTAAACGGCTTTGTGCACTTTTGAGTTGTGGATGTACTTGTAGAACTGTTAATGACTTAAAGAATTCATCATTAGTAACTTTTTTGATGGAGAAACCTTCAGTTCTATGATTCCATATTTGGGCAAAAAAATTCAGTGCTTCTGACTGGACAGCTCAAAAAAACCCAGCATGGTTCTAAACAGATAAGGAGAAGTTAGACACTTTGAAGTTTTACATTTCTAATCAAGTTCATTTCAATACAAGCTAGAGGGGGGCTTATAATCCATGAGAAGTGTTTTTTTGTTTACAGGTAGTTGGGCCTGATGAGCTTATAAGTGGCAGAGAATGATAACTAGCAGTGTTTAATCAAAACAATGAATATTACATGTACGTGTACATGTACAACCAGGCTCAATTTTAAAATGAATTGACTCACACCTATGCCTGTTCTAAGTATCTGCCAGAAGAAATCCCAGTTCACCTTCAATTACAACTTGCAAAATATTCATGGCATAGGTACTTTATACATAATAGTATACATACCTCTAAAAAGGGCTTTAAGAACTTCTTTGAATCCCTAATGTCTGTCGGTGAAATACGAGCATATCCACCTAGCATTCCATCAACTGTCGCTGGAACTTTCTGATATTTATGAGATATAATTTGAAAAATATTTCTACAGAACTAGATCACAGCTTTGTAAATAAGGTAACACTGTTAGAAGGTGAATATGATATTCACATGTCAATTGTGATTTCAGGCTAACAAGTTTTCAAAACCACAATAGACCTTGTCACGGTTTTTGATGTCATCTTGACAAGTAGGCAAACACGTGAGAAATTACAGTGTTTGTATGAAAATCTAATGTCAAATAATTTCCGTAAAACAGCTGTTCTGAAAAAAATAGGAATCGTCAACTAAAGCTTCACTCCTAAGGATTCTACTGAAAAAAATTAAGGGCGTTAAATGTGGTAGAAGACCTAGAACCACTTTTTTAAATTTTCTATACATTTGTCTGTAAGAAAGTCCTGGGAAAAATTACAGACAAATATATGGAAAATCTAAAGCAAGCCGTGGCAGAAATTTAAGCAATGGTACGCCCCCCAAATTTTTTAGTACAATCCTTTGTTTTGTTGCGTTAGTTTACAAGTCATATTTTTTTTCAGAACAGCCGTTTGACGGAAATTATTCCTCATTAGATTTTCATACAAAATATTTGTAATATTTCTCACACGTTTGCCTACTCGTCAAAATGGTGTCGAAAACGGTGAAAATGTTTATTGTAAATCCGTTTCAACCTCCGTCAAGTTTGACCATAAGTACATCCTTCTGAATTTAAGCTTACTGTATTATACCTTATTTTAACGTTTTGAGCAGTTCAGCTTACTTTTATTTAATTTTTCATCCAATTTGAATTGGCGGCAATTCCCATTAATATATTTTGATAAATTTCGTGACACAGTTCCTTCAACACGAGGAGGTAAAATGCCACGATGACACTGGCTGATCCCTCGATTTCTACACAAAAGATGGAAGCCAGTACGCTTAAATATAAAGCATGATATAAAAATGCTCATCAATAAAGGAATCTGACAGAAAGAGACTCATTTCTTACTTTCCAGTAATCGGCAGCATCTCCATACCACTTCCCTCTGTCTCGCATGTAATCAGGAACATCTGTATCGGAAGAAGCCATTCTGAAAATCAAAAGTTAAGCTATTAATAAGCTTGAAGCTTAAACTACATGTTCTTTTTCTTTGTAGCATGTACGTACGTAAGCGCACAGATCAGTTTCATTCATAGCTTGCGGGGGCGGGGGTCCCCTTATGAAATCTTCAAAAGACTAAGAGTCCGGGCAATAGTCAGCAATAGTCTTCAAAAAAGTTACCTTTGCCTCTAAATCAAGAAGATAGCCGTAGATGTGTAGGTAGGGTTTGCTATAGTTTACACCAGCTTTGACTAGAAGTCCGCCATCTTGATTATTTGCGCGGGAAAATAAATAGGACTGGAAATGAGTTTATGTTGGGAATAATACGTTAAGTATGCAGCTTGTAATGTCCTTCACTTATGCTTAACTGGAGGCGTTTGAAAGGAAAAGGGAACGGTAGCCTGAACGGTATGCAAAAATTGCGGTTATTTTGTCTATCTTGACCAAATTTGACTCATCAATCCTTAGCTTTTTCCTGAAAAAGAGAGTCATCTGTTCGTCTAAGTCAGTCCGTTGTGTAAAAGTTTCAAAACTAAATTCATAAAGGAAAAAAACGACAGCAAATTTTAGTAATAATAATTTTAACTAAAAGCTTCTGCTCTCAATATCTCTTGCTTGGTTAGTTTTATTATTTGCCCTATAATTTACGGAACTATATCTGATCCCCCAGAATGCAACGTTACCGGAAGTAGAAAGCTCTTTGCGCAAGCGTATCACGAATTTGAAATAGAAAATTCTGTAATGGCGGACAAAGAATGTTTCATCAATAATCGCAGTCGGAAACTTTAGGGTAGATAGTCGAAAGTGGGAAAGAAAGCAAACAAAAAGAACTGTTGCAAAAAGAACTATAGCACTGGAAGGATTTGAGTTGAGGGTTTCGGAAGATGTCCATTATGGAAGGAACTTTATGGAAATGGACAAACTACTTAAGCGGTTTGTATGACTTTTACTAAGCGCTCATTCATTCGTTTGTTATTGTTTTGAAACTACCGTTGTATCGCGCAACCTCGAGATAATGAAATAAGGAACTGATTTTTCTCCTCGAGGGGGGAATTTTTTTTCTGTTTACGGCTCGACAAGGAGTCTTTTCGTTACAATTTTGGGGGAAGTTAGTATTGTTACTACGTTACGTTTACATCCACTTCACACGTTTCAGCGCAGTTTTTCTTTTAAAGTGTCATTATCGCTTGTCTCCTTCTCTCCAATGTTAGAGAAGTTTATAGTAGACTTAATTTGTCAAACAAGGGACTCACCAAAAACTGCAGACAACCCAGCTGATTTTAATTTATATTTCGTAGGATTTCCCGCGGTTTTGATTCTCGATCTTAAGTCCCCCGGTTCATAACTTATTTATAATCGCTTGGTTAGAAATCAAACAAAGAGATCAATTATTCATTAATTACTTTGGAAAACCACCCACTACAAGCTTATTTAGAGGTAGGCCATGGACTTGCAGAAGTTGTTGTTTAATGTCACTTAATTTTGAATTGATTTATTACAAACCTAAGCGTAAAATAATGTTATAATTTTGCACGCTGCAACAAAATGGACGTCTCATGACACGTAGATAACGAATTAATTATTTTGTGGAAATGATTTACATAAACTTCATTTTGAAGGTCGTACAAAAATATTAATTTTGATAATTGAATTATTGTATTTGATGTGATGGCTGCTAAAATGAAAAAGTCACTTAATTCTGACGTGGACTGCCAGATTCGATTTGTATGTAGTTGATTGCTTGGTAAGGTAAGAGCAGTGACTTGTGTGTTTCTTTTTTTTGTTATTCCAAAGAAGAAAAAATTATTGCTTCAAACTTTCCATATGAACTTTTAGTGAGTCAATTTGTTTTTCAAATCAAGATGTGTAATTACAGTGTTACAAAATGAGACAAAATAACTTACAACAAGTCCCCTTAGGGATCTTGTGATTAATATATGTACATGTAGATGTTTTGTTGGTTAAAAAGTGCTTTTTGAGTGGAAAAATTAATTTTAACTTTGGTAGGGCTAGCGTGTAGTAGTTTTATTAGTTTTATGGTGAAAAATAAGATTTAAACACTTCAGTTTGTTGGCTGAGTAAAATGAGTGCACAGAATTGCATGTTTTCTATAAACTTCCCTAGTGACTATAACATATTTTTTTATTATTAATGAAACAGGGCTTCTGATATTTCGCGTGGTCGTGGAGCCGCGAAATTCAGGTAAATCTGCAAAATCCCGCGAAATTCACAAAAAAATACCTCGAAATTCGGAAGAAATCTTATCAAATACATGTCTGTACAACATATTAGAAACTTATTTCAGCTATTGGATCTATTTACTTGCCGTAAACTTGCAAATTTATCTTAGAACTTTGTCACTGAAACGTGCAAACAACATCCCAAAACTACCAGGCGTAGATTATGTTGCGAAAAACTGGTCACTAGCCATGATGTTAAAGGCTTTGCCATAGGTTCATTTCTGGAGCGTATTGTTGTTGAAAGAGCAAATGATGACCTCTGTTAGAAATATGTTAAAAACGTTGACCAGTCTGATCAGCACAAAGCAGATTGATTCCTAGCAAAATTTGCCTTGAAAATAACCACAAAATTGGCTGTTTTTTACCGATTGCTTTTTGGTGAAGTTTGCCCCGAAAACTCCCGTGAAATTACCGCAAAATTGGCCGATTTTTCCGTGAATTTGTCCCTAAAAACCCCGTGAATTTGACTTTTCTTCTGCGACCTGTCAGAAGCCCTGATGAAATTTTTATTATTACTGCAAGAATCACTTAGGCAGCTCAGAATCTTTTCGTGTTATGTTTGACTCCCCATTCTTCCAAATTTGATTTTTGGTTGGCTAGTAATACACAGGCAGAGGTCTTAGTATTAAGATCACTTCTTTATATTTGTCCTTCAGGACTAGTATTAGTTGCCTGCAGGTAAACAGAGTAAGTGAGTATACAGTATTTGTTAGATTATAAACTGAACTCAACCATAAGACCAACACTGCCCCTGCAGTCATACAAGCACTGACTTAACTGACTGAGCTAGTCATGCTGTGGTTGATATTTGGACTTAATATTGTTTAGGCTGGCAACCAAGATGGTTTGTTCTAGATGTTGGTGTGCTGGCATATTACAAGTCACAGGAAGAGGTGGGTCTTGGCAGTCGAGGCTCTGTTAAAATGGCTTGCTGTGAAATCTCAGGTTAGTGCTTTTTCTTGATTCTTTTTTTCTTAAAAGAACGATTCCAAACAGGGATATTCAATTCAATAGTAGTGCTTGAAATACTCCTGCAATTGCTATTCCTTCAACTGCATGTAATTATGTACACTGCAATTTGCCCTTTAAGCCCCAATATTCCCATTTTCTCCATCAATTTTCTTCCAACAATATATATCTACAGATACATTTTCTCGTAACACTTATCAGTACATAACCAAGAGAAAAAGTTTTGAGATTTAATAAAATTACTACCAAAGGGAAATGCTTTCAATTGATGATCTTTTATCAAATTTTCTTGACCAATTCTGTAAGGAAATGTATAGAGTTCAGTCTGGATAATTTGTATGTTGATATTAGGGCTTAAAGAGAGTGTTAACCAACATAATAATTATAACAAAGAAACTGTTGTTTTATAGTTCATCACTCAGATGCAGTAAGGATTGACTTAAAGATCCCCCCTGACCAGTACATTTACTTAAGGGCAGCCACACCTGCTGAACGGCAGCAATGGCTTGTTGCTCTAGGAACAGCAAAAGCGTGCCTTACAACAATGAAGCAGAATGGCCACTCAGAAACCCCTGGAGAATGTAAGTGGTAAATGTGTACAATGAGAATTTGCTTTTAAATTAACATGTGTGAGCTACAATCTCTGTAATTTATGGCCGTCCTTATAAATTATTGCAACCAGCTTTTCAAAAATATCTTGCCACCCAGCCCATGATATGAATGATGTGTTGAATGGGGAAACTTCCCCTACCCTTTGAGAACAGTGTGGGTTCTTTTAAGTCCCGATTAAATTGTCTAATAAAACAAGGATGAAAAAGAGAAGATCAATTAATAGTTTAACTTCCCCACGAAAATGACCCAGTTAGTTCATAAAACTTTCTGAGCCATATGCATATTTTAAGAGCATACATATATATGTTGTGGTTCAAATTTAATCTTTGGTTTCAATTTTTTTAAACAGTTTAAATTTTTCAAACTCTTTTTCCTAGAGCTTGTTTAAAAAAAACCCATTATATTTCTTAATTCTTTGTCTAAATATTTGTATAGGTAATAGCATGATTTGTAGTGATATTTGGCATAAATGCCACGAGTGATGTTTCAAAATTGTTATACGTAATTTCACGAGCCGTTAGGCGAGTGAAATTTGAGACAATTTTGAAATATCACAAGTGGTATTTAAGCCAAATATCACGTACAAATCATGCTATTATTTGTTTATACCACTACCCGCAAAAGGTTTGTAATTTTTACATGTAGCTATTTCAAATTAAGCTGAAATACCACTGCTCTAAGCCAATCAAATTGCAGAAATTTCTCATCTAGTAGTATTTTATATTATATTGGGTGATTGCCGGCAAAGGGGACTTTTGTATACAACTCATGGTGAAAAAGAACCTCTGCTTGTAGGGTAATTTAATCAGTACTGACAATGTTTTACATGTAGGATTTACATGTCAGAATCATGAGTGTGTTTTCTTAGATGATTTTTGTTTGTACTCATCTTTTGTTGAACAGCTATAAATCAATTAAAAGAAAAGATGCAAGAACTTAACATGTACCGTAGCCTGCTGCTGCAGCAGATTGGAACCATAAAGATGCTATGTGCTAATAAAGAGGAGAGTCAGGTAATCTTCTTTAGGCTTCTAATTGCTGATAAATGGGTGTATTCTCTATAAGCACTCCACACCTTTCCTTCAAATGCTATCACTATGGAGAATGTGTGTAAAAGTAGATATACCGTGGTTCGTACAATCTTGAAAAGGTCTTAAATTTTAGAAGTCATCTTGAAAAGTCCTTGAAAAGTACTTGATTTCTTTATCAGGTCTTAAAAAGTCCTTGAAATTCACTACCTTAGCTATGCACAACACAATTTTCTTGAAAATTAGAATTTTTGCTGGGGAAAAATTGGCTCATCCACAGTATAAAAACCTGTAAAACTCATGGGTAACGTAAAAACAATTTTTTTTTGTATTATAAACAATATTTTATTTCTGTTTCTTTATTTTGAATGCTATTTCTGTACATCAGATGCAATCAATTGCAAGTCATTTTGTAAAGTGTAATTGTTGCGGAAATTATAAACTATAAACATAATCAATTACCATGGCTGAACAAGTAAAAATTGTAAATGACTCCATGACGTACGTGTTTTAGCCATGCTTGAGGTGTTCAAAAGGGGGGTGAAAGAATGCCGATTTATTGAACATTGAAATACTGAAAATAGTTTCATCCCACTGTAGTTTGATTCTCACAGACAGTTTCTGTTTGTTACCTGGTAAAATTAGCGTTAAAAGACAAAGGAACTTGAGAATCAGCTATGGTAAAGCCATTTTTTCCCCAAAGGGCTCAGCTGTAAAACTCATAACTTTCATTTCACCCTGATTTCATGTGAGTTCTTTATCTCACCATCATTTTAAACACCTAAGACCAAAGAAATATAAAATATGAACCATGGATAAATTTGAATCATTGAACCAAAAAAAAGCTTTTTTCCTCAGGAATTTGGTGAAGCTGGTACAATGCTATCTGCAACTTGTGATGAGTTTCTTAAAAATCTTTGTGATTGTGTGGAACTGGCTGAAGGAAACTTTGGTGAGTACAATACATGTAAATTACCTTAAACTGCTACTTATAATCCCTGGACTATAATATTATAGCACTTCGTAAGGAGGGGCTTATATCCAAGGCAGCTTATAACCAGAATAAAAAAAGTGTACTGCTTTGATCAAAATTAGGTATAGCAGTGCTTATCAAAATACATTTTACATTTACTGGGTTTTAATATTATTTTAGCTTTTCAATAAAATTTATATGCTTCAGGGTTCGCAAATACGCCAAATTTGACGTATTTTACGCCAAAATTGTTCAGATGACTCCACTTAGGTTACAGAGGGAATCACTTCGACTCCAAAAATTTTTGGTAACAAACAGGGAGCCACTTCGACTCCAGAAATTTTCGGTAACAAACACAGTTTTGTCCTTACCTTTTTTGCAACAAATGCAATTTACGTTAATTGTAAACATTGTAAAACCTTGATTAAGTCATCGAAATTAAAGAATAATTATTATTATACTGCACAACAAAACAGGAAGCGGGTAAATTACGATCAAAGTTTACTTGATGACCACCATCATAGATTTGAGCTTTCCAGGTCAGCGGACTGCCACAGCTACTTCATGTATCCCTCACGATAGTGTATACATGACAGGACCACGTGCTGGAAAGTCTGATACTTGACTCCAAAATTTGTGAAGCAGAAGTCAAACTGACTCCACTCATCAATAAAATTTGCAAACCCTGATGCTTCCTTAACAATCAACCAATGCAGCTCATTTAAAACTGGCATGATGTGGGCATATTTTCTGGTCAAACAATCAAGTCTTGCAGCAGCACAAAGTCATCGTAGTTACATTCTGGTTGCTGAATGTTTCTTTTTTCTTTTCTCTGATAGGGAGTTCGTCATCATCACCTTCCTCACCAACCACTTCAATGAGCAAGGTAATTAATGCAGAATAATGTTCATTGACGACTGTCACGTGTTAAGATTTATGGATTCAGTAATATTAGACTAAAGGTGGATTTCCACTGGCACGTAATTTTATGTGGGTGGGTACGTGCGTAAATAAAATAGAGACAATATATGGAAGGTCGTGCGTAAACATAGAAATTGAACCTCACTCAACTTTTATGTTTATGTGCAGTCTTTCTTACATTGCCCAGTCTATTTTATTTACGTGTGTACCCACCCACTTAAAAATTACTCGACAGTGGAAATCCATCTGAAGACCTTAAAATGGCCTTTGAAATGTTTTTTGCTCTTCTCTATAATGTCTCTCCAACTAAGTATTTTGCTTTAAACTGGAAAGCAGTATTCATATCTTACTGATGTTCTGTTTGTAGACTTTATCATCATCAAAGCACAGTGCATTTCGAAAACAACTGCTTCATGAAACACAAAGGTCAGTACATGTTGCTGCCATTATTAACATATTAGTTAAATATGATTATTATAAAACCAAGACAATGTTGAATAATCTTTTTTTGGCCTGTTTGAAGGATGAAATTTCAAATTGTGTGTTAGTTTTGCTGACAATTTTTTAAGAATAAATGATTTTGATAATGAACAGGTTTGTACCACCGGTATCTGAAGTCACCTAGCCACCAACTAAATTGCCACCAAGAAATACGTATCTTAATACTTATCAAAAGGACAAGTCTCTAACAGAAAATTCTGTCCCTTTAGATTTGCAATGAAATTTAAGGAGGTAAGGTCCAAGTGACAATATTAACCAACTTTCATAAGAAAGAACAACTCTCACATCTCGAGCAATGCAAATGAGCCATACTAAGGTGTTTTAAAAAAAGTCACAGTTCACAAAAAATAGTACTAAAGATGAGAAGTTCGACGCAAGGTGTCAATTAAAATCAATTAACTTATATTTGGGCTTGAGGAAGAAGTAACAATCCCAGGTAAGTAAACGGTATCAGTTATTACAGAGGTATTATGTGGTGGCGAGTAGACTTCTTGGTGGCGAGATGGTTCGGTGGCGAGGTGACCATAAACCGTACTATCTATTCCCGCATTCCCTGGACTTCCTCCCCTTACCATCAGAATTTCCAACGACTATACTTTAGGACCCCAACCACACACCGAAATATTGGTGAACTAAGATATTTCTAGTACGAATTTCTATATTTGAACAAGATATCGCGATATTACAACGCAATAAAATATGCTAAACGCACAGGTCTGTTACATTCCTAGCTTTTTACAGTATTGTAAAAATCAGCTAGTGAAAATCCGCTTTTAAAATGGTATTAAAAATTTCATGTTCACTGCTCAAAAAATTCCTTTGAGCAACTTGTCAGTTGTCGAGAGTTTTTCACGTCTTATCATTTTCACATTTAATTTAGATCATCCTCACCTCCTCCATCACCCACGTCAAGTGTGGCAAGTACGTTAAGCTCTTCTTACAATGGTGAGTGATTCTCTTTTCAATTTACACTGTTGTTTCTCTTGAGACTAACCCCTCGTGACATGGGTAATGAGTTTTGTTAAAGTTCAAATCAACTTCAACTTGAACTTTATTTGAATGAATATTTGTAAATATTCAACACGAAGAGACTGGTCTGCAAGTAGCATTTGCTAATCTGTGCGGAATAGTCACACTGACTAAAAAAACATTACAATGAGAATAATTTTAAAATATTTACTAAAATAACAAAAGGAGACTTGGGTTGCGTTCCTTTGAGATGATCCGGATCAGGATCACTGATCCGAGATCACTCGGATCATGGTGGATCAAATGAACCGATGAATCCACTCTGAACAAGGATTCATCGGTTCATTTGATCTATCATGATCTGAGTGATCTCGGATCATCTCAAAGGAACGCACCCTTGATTACTTACAGAAGCTTTGGTAGTTTACATTAGTGAAGATACGTTAAGTTCTATTTAATTGTATACTCTTGATCTTTCTTCGATTGTTT